ACTTCGGGATTGGCTCCTCGGCCGCCTTGGTACACATGCCACGACCTGCCAGCCGGACCGAACCTCGCGCTAGCATGGCGGGTGCGACGGCGGGCCCAGCCAGGCTGCCGCTGAGGGACGGCCGACCTGGTTCAGCTGGGCCATCAGGGCGGCCGCCAGCGGCCGAGGGGAGACTACCCGCGGGCCTAGAAGGCCCACGCGCAGGGAGGGGGGCCGGGATGTGAGGCCCTAGGTTAGAAGCCGGTTAAGCGACTCGATCATCAACATCGCCGCCATCGCATCGCATCGAGATCGCACACTCTAAAAAAAAGATAAAAGTGCTGGGTGGGTGGGTGTGCCCATGCACTGGCGCTCTCCTCAACTTCTCGGGACTCTCAATGGACCAGCTTACCCATCGTTCGCTGCGCACACACTAGTAAACAACTTCTCGGGACTCTCAAATGGACCAGTGCGCTGCACACACTAGTAAACAACTCCTCGGGACTCTCAATGGACCAGCCTATCCATCGCGCGCAGCGCACACACTAGTAAACAACTTCTCGGGACTCAATGGACAGGGCAAACGGGGGCGTAGTAAACACAAGTGTAACAGAGCGGCTACTGGAACATCTCAGCTTCTGGGGATGTGGAGAGACCCCCGCCCGGGCCCCGCACCCGCCCGCTGCTGTCCCATTGCACTTCTAAGGTCTACCTAAGGCGGATTGAGATCCATGTTGCCGTGCCAGTCGTGGCCGCTGCTCGAGATGTCGCAACCGGTGAAGGTATGTTTGCCATCGTTGCACGAGCAGTCCACGCTATTGTCACCAACGTACGGGATGTCGACGTGGACGTGGCACTGGGTGGCGCCGACATTGAAGTTGCACTTGAAGTCTAGGCCCGTTGCCGTGCCATCCGTTCCCCGGCCGGTCATCACAAGTCTGCCCTCCGCGTTGGTTGTGCACCCGCACTTTGAGTTGTCGCTGCCGCAGCCAGAGCCCCCGTACTCAAACTGGACGCCGCTGATGGTCAGACCCGGCCACGGCCTGACAGTGTAGTCCACGTGAAAGTCGCTATCCAGACGGCGCATGCTGGGACGACTGCCATCACTGTGCTGGCGTGCAGGAGTGTTCTGAGCTGGTGCATCGATGTCGACAGGGGCTGCAGAGGTAGTGTCGAAGGACAGAGCAACGAGAACGGCGGCGACGGTCGACTTGCACAGCATTTTCGTTTCTGCGAGCGCGAGCACGGGGTGAGACCTGAGTTGAAGGTGTGGCTTATGGCGGCTCGCGTGCGGAGAGGGCGGTGGCGGTGGGCGTGGTGGGCGAGTAGAGCAGGCGGACCTGTTGTCGTCTGTCCCGGCAAAGCAAGCGTGAGTCTGGTGGTGAGACCGTGGTGGGTAATCCTTGTCCGACAAACAAGGGTCTCTCCAGGTTCTCGAGGCACCACCAGACCCACACGCAGGGAAGGGAGGGTGGGAGGGAGGGGGGTGCGGAGGGAGGGAGGGAGGCAGGGAGGCAGGGTCAGTTTTTTATTTCTTGTTATGGCGGTGGGCAGCGCGCGCGTGAACAGAGCTCCAGGCCCCAACCAAATGATGTGTGGTGTTAGAGAGTTGACAGTTGTTTGTTTGGTTGGTCTTGCTAATTGGGGCTTTTGGAAAAATGCTCTCCAAAGGACTTGAGTTGTAAATTCACCGGGCATGACCGGGGACGCTCACTGGCTCGTCCCGGGATGCGGCAAAAGAATTTTCGGAAAGCAGCGAGAGGTCACCGCGACGTGGAGCCTCGTTGGCGGCCGGGGTCTCGAGTAAAGGTCGTACTCGAGTACGAAAGCCGGCAGTTAGTATGACGCAACAAGGTCAAACAAAGGAGAGCAGAACGCGCCCACAGCCACACGTGACTGACACGATGGAGGGAGAACAACATCTCTCTCTCTGGAGGGAAGAAACTCATGTGACACAGAGAGTCACGCGGGACAATCATTAGATGTAAATGCAATTCGTCCTCGTGTCCGGCAGCGGATTCCTTCTTGAGTACTTTTATTTACAAAAGGCAACTCTAATTACAACTGCAATGTGCTCGCCGATGGCTGATGCCATCGTCTACCAGCGCGTGCTGGGTGGGTGTGCCCATGCACTGGCGCTCTCCTCAACTTCTCGGGACTCTCAATGGACCAGCTTACCCATCGTTCGCTGCGCACACACTAGTAAACAACTTCTCGGGACTCTCAAATGGACCAGTGCGCTGCACACACTAGTAAACAACTCCTCGGGACTCTCAATGGACCAGCCTATCCATCGCGCGCAGCGCACACACTAGTAAACAACTTCTCGGGACTCAATGGACAGGGCAAACGGGGGCGTAGTAAACACAAGTGTAACAGAGCGGCTACTGGAACATCTCAGCTTCTGGGGATGTGGAGAGACCCCCGCCCGGGCCCCGCACCCGCCCGCTGCTGTCCCATTGCACTTCTAAGGTCTACCTAAGGCGGATTGAGATCCATGTTGCCGTGCCAGTCGTGGCCGCTGCTCGAGATGTCGCAACCGGTGAAGGTATGTTTGCCATCGTTGCACGAGCAGTCCACGCTATTGTCACCAACGTACGGGATGTCGACGTGGACGTGGCACTGGGTGGCGCCGACATTGAAGTTGCACTTGAAGTCTAGGCCCGTTGCCGTGCCATCCGTTCCCCGGCCGGTCATCACAAGTCTGCCCTCCGCGTTGGTTGTGCACCCGCACTTTGAGTTGTCGCTGCCGCAGCCAGAGCCCCCGTACTCAAACTGGACGCCGCTGATGGTCAGACCCGGCCACGGCCTGACAGTGTAGTCCACGTGAAAGTCGCTATCCAGACGGCGCATGCTGGGACGACTGCCATCACTGTGCTGGCGTGCAGGAGTGTTCTGAGCTGGTGCATCGATGTCGACAGGGGCTGCAGAGGTAGTGTCGAAGGACAGAGCAACGAGAACGGCGGCGACGGTCGACTTGCACAGCATTTTCGTTTCTGCGAGCGCGAGCACGGGGTGAGACCTGAGTTGAAGGTGTGGCTTATGGCGGCTCGCGTGCGGAGAGGGCGGTGGCGGTGGGCGTGGTGGGCGAGTAGAGCAGGCGGACCTGTTGTCGTCTGTCCCGGCAAAGCAAGCGTGAGTCTGGTGGTGAGACCGTGGTGGGTAATCCTTGTCCGACAAACAAGGGTCTCTCCAGGTTCTCGAGGCACCACCAGACCCACACGCAGGGAAGGGAGGGTGGGAGGGAGGGGGGTGCGGAGGGAGGGAGGGAGGCAGGGAGGCAGGGTGAGTTTTTTATTTCTTGTTATGGCGGTGGGCAGCGCGCGCGTGAACAGAGCTCCAGGCCCCAACCAAATGATGTGTGGTGTTAGAGAGTTGACAGTTGTTTGTTTGGTTGGTCTTGCTAATTGGGGCTTTTGGAAAAATGCTCTCCAAAGGACTTGAGTTGTAAATTCACCGGGCATGACCGGGGACGCTCACTGGCTCGTCCCGGGATGCGGCAAAAGAATTTTCGGAAAGCAGCGAGAGGTCACCGCGACGTGGAGCCTCGTTGGCGGCCGGGGTCTCGAGTAAAATAAAGGTCGTACTCGAGTACGAAAGCCGGCAGTTAGTATGACGCAACAAGGTCAAACAAAGGAGAGCAGAACGCGCCCACAGCCACACGTGACTGACACGATGGAGGGAGAACAACATCTCTCTCTCTGGAGGGAAGAAACTCATGTGACACAGAGAGTCACGCGGGACAATCATTAGATGTAAATGCAATTCGTCCTCGTGTCCGGCAGCGGATTCCTTCTTGAGTACTTTTACAAAAGGCAACTCTAATTACAACTGCAATGTGCTCGCCGATGGATGATGCCATCGTCTACCAGCGCGTGCTGGGTGGGTGTGCCCATGCACTGGCGCTCTCCTCAACTTCTCGGGACTCTCAATGGACCAGCTTACCCATCGTTCGCTGCGCACACACTAGTAAACAACTTCTCGGGACTCTCAAATGGACCAGTGCGCTGCACACACTAGTAAACAACTCCTCGGGAGACTCTCAATGGACCAGCCTATCCATCGCGCGCAGCGCACACACTAGTAAACAACTTCTCGGGACTCAATGGACAGGGCAAACGGGGGCGTAGTAAACACAAGTGTAACAGAGCGGCTACTGGAACATCTCAGCTTCTGGGGATGTGGAGAGACCCCCGCCCGGGCCCCGCACCCGCCCGCTGCTGTCCCATTGCACTTCTAAGGTCTACCTAAGGCGGATTGAGATCCATGTTGCCGTGCCAGTCGTGGCCGCTGCTCGAGATGTCGCAACCGGTGAAGGTATGTTTGCCATCGTTGCACGAGCAGTCCACGCTATTGTCACCAACGTACGGGATGTCGACGTGGACGTGGCACTGGGTGGCGCCGACATTGAAGTTGCACTTGAAGTCTAGGCCCGTTGCCGTGCCATCCGTTCCCCGGCCGGTCATCACAAGTCTGCCCTCCGCGTTGGTTGTGCACCCGCACTTTGAGTTGTCGCTGCCGCAGCCAGAGCCCCCGTACTCAAACTGGACGCCGCTGATGGTCAGACCCGGCCACGGCCTGACAGTGTAGTCCACGTGAAAGTCGCTATCCAGACGGCGCATGCTGGGACGACTGCCATCACTGTGCTGGCGTGCAGGAGTGTTCTGAGCTGGTGCATCGATGTCGACAGGGGCTGCAGAGGTAGTGTCGAAGGACAGAGCAACGAGAACGGCGGCGACGGTCAACTTGCACAGCATTTTCGTTTCTGCGAGCGCGAGCACGGGGTGAGACCTGAGTTGAAGGTGTGGCTTATGGCGGCTCGCGTGCGGAGAGGGCGGTGGCGGTGGGCGTGGTGGGCGAGTAGAGCAGGCGGACCTGTTGTCGTCTGTCCCGGCAAAGCAAGCGTGAGTCTGGTGGTGAGACCGTGGTGGGTAATCCTTGTCCGACAAACAAGGGTCTCTCCAGGTTCTCGAGGCACCACCAGACCCACACGCAGGGAAGGGAGGGAGGCAGGGAGGCAGGGTGAGTTTTTTATTTCTTGTTATGGCGGTGGGCAGCGCGCGCGTGAACAGAGCTCCAGGCCCCAACCAAATGATGTGTGGTGTTAGAGAGTTGACAGTTGTTTGTTTGGTTGGTCTTGCTAATTGGGGCTTTTGGAAAAATGCTCTCCAAAGGACTTGAGTTGTAAATTCACCGGGCATGACCGGGGACGCTCACTGGCTCGTCCCGGGATGCGGCAAAAGAATTTTCGGAAAGCAGCGAGAGGTCACCGCGACGTGGAGCCTCGTTGGCGGCCGGGGTCTCGAGTAAAGGTCGTACTCGAGTACGAAAGCCGGCAGTTAGTATGACGCAACAAGGTCAAACAAAGGAGAGCAGAACGCGCCCACAGCCACACGTGACTGACACGATGGAGGGAGAACAACATCTCTCTCTCTGGAGGGAAGAAACTCATGTGACACAGAGAGTCACGCGGGACAATCATTAGATGTAAATGCAATTCGTCCTCGTGTCCGGCAGCGGATTCCTTCTTGAGTACTTTTATTTACAAAAGGCAACTCTAATTACAACTGCAATGTGCTCGCCGATGGCTGATGCCATCGTCTACCAGCGCGTGCTGGGTGGGTGTGCCCATGCACTGGCGCTCTCCTCAACTTCTCGGGACTCTCAATGGACCAGCTTACCCATCGTTCGC